GGACAACGACAACATCTGGAACGCGGCCAAGTATCTGAAGGCGGGCAACGAGGCGTTCGGGACAGTNCCAGCACTTCGCAGAACGGACGGGACAACCATGAGCGACTTTGAAGAGCAAGTAGAGGAGTTGCTCAGCACCCTTTTCCTTCCGCTTCCTAGCAGCATCGATGACGAGGGAGGTAGGCCGCAGAGAACACCCGTGGCAGTGCCAACCATCACGCTTGAGGAGGTGGAAAGACAGCTGCACGCCGCCAAGTAGAACTTTACAGTTCAGGTTGGTTTAACGGAAGAGGTGGATGGAAAATCCGCATGTGCTTGAGTCGGGCATCCTGTCGACTAAAGCTACTTCCACATACATTGCAAGGGAAAGCTTTAGCCACCTTTTGATGTTTGTGTCTCTTATGTCTTCCCATGTTTCCTTTTGCGTATCTTCCAGTAAAACTATGGCGACAAAAGTCGCATGAAAACTTAGATGGATTGGATTTAACCTCCTGCTTCGGCAGGGAGGGGAAAGTAGAGCATGTGTCAAGAGGCTGAGGAACTCGAGGGCTGGACGTAGCCTTTGAAAATCCTCCTTAGTCCTTTATTCGACCACTGCTCTCTAGGTCCAAAGAACCTACTGTTTCTGTGTACCTGAGGTGGCTGGAAGCACTTATATCACTATGAGAAAATGTCCGATTTCCGCCTTTGAACCATGTGTGTGATGAAGGAGGTTGGTCTGGCCCACTAGACATGGACGATGAATTCTAGTAGCAACATCATTAAAACGGGGATTTGGTTACGCGCAACCATCACTTACACGCTGTGGCTCTGTGTCTGGTACTCTCCCGTCAGATTTCGACTTAGCAATGAGTTGGTAGGGCGTGAGGTAAGATATAACCACGTCTTGGTTATGCGGTATAAAACGATCGGCAGGAGAGTCTGTTTCAGTGTGATTTGACACTGGTGGTGCTGCGGATCTGGCATTGGATCTTGGTAGGATGGATTCCCTTTCATTCCCTGCTTAAGTGGTAATGTTAAAACCACCTCTGTAGGTTATATACAGAAGAGATGACGTACTTTTGGGGGTATGTTTTGACATTTCTGCCTCTACTTGGCGGTACAGCAGTTCCCATTGCATTTGCGCATTGGCTTTTCTGCGCTGGGGTTGGCGGTTGTTGCAGAGCTCCCCTCGATAGCCATGTCGAGATTCAAAAACTTCTTTGTCAATGAAATCGTTGTTGCAGGTAGGACAGAGTTTCAAAAATGGTAACTGGCGCCTATAACCACGTCCCGGTCGGGTTGTTAAATGGTGTCGCAAGTCAGCCATGCTTGCGCATTGAACATTGTTGCACGTACGCGGCCAACCACGTTGAGCCTCTACGACGAATACAGGGCAGCTGAATCTGTGCCTGTTGGAGCTCGTTTTAGGGATCATGGTTATAGTGGCTGTGGACATGACTGGGCTGAGAGGATTAGGACAGGAAGTCAAACAACCACTGATGCTTACATATACTAGGTCCTATTCTCAGCCACACACCAACTTTTAAGCAGAAATTTTTCATCGAAACTCGTCAATTTTCTATCGGATATAGGGGTAACACGTCGCGAGAAATCGATTTACGCCAACTCTAACGTGTGCAGCCCTCTCGTTGAGGTGCTAGAGG